TTGATTCCTTCAATTAAAAAAATTTGAGAAAGTATAGAACATATACTATTTTATAAAGAATAATCAATTTTTTTATAAAGGAAAATGGTCAAATAGACCCTCTAACTTTTGTTAAAAAGTCAATTAGCCACTTCAACTTTTTAAAGGTACAATTACACCCATCAATAATTCATTTTGATGCAATAAAGTCCAAATACAGGTACTAGGGATCCAACGACGTTCCAGCGATAATTTCAAGCAAAAAAGTGACCGACGACCGGCGAATGATCGCCAATCACGGAGAAGGCAACCACTGGGTCGCTTTCTCCGGCGAGAAGGCAAAGCGACCACAGTCCATAGTGGTCGCCTTCGCAACCAGAGAAGGCAACCCAGTGGTTGCCTTCTCCGTGATTGGCGACTGTTCGCCGGTCGCCAATCACTTTTTTACTTGAAATTATCGTTGGAAGGTGGTCGGATCCCTAATGACTTGTGATAGCAGATTATTTACCTGTATTTGGTATTTATTGCATCAAAATAAATTTTGATGGGTGTAATTACACCTTTAAAAAGTTAAAATGACTAATTGATGACTTTTTAACTAAAGTTCGATGATCTATTTGATCATTTTCTAAAAAAAAAAAAAAAAAAGAAAAAAAACCAATCAACCCAAATCATATCAATAAAGAATAAAGAATAAAATAAAGTAAATGGTGTATTTGAGCAGTGAAATAAATAATTAGTTATTGAAGAAGTCGGTGAGATGAAGACACAAAAAAGTAAGGACCACATGATACATAGATAGAGGGAAAGACCAAAGAAGGGTGACATGCAGACACAGCGGACCCTGTGAAAACCCCAAAAGTCAATAACTACTGCTGCATGCCGCCGCTCTTCCATGGAAAAACACCATTGAGATCCAAACGCATTCCCACTATTCTCTCCTCCTTTCCTTACTTTCTCCGCTTTCCAATTTTCACAGCTAGATAGCTTCTATAAATTTCATGCACCTACCAACCATCCACTCCTCTTCAACTTTGCTCCTTTCTTTAATAAAAAAAATGCACTTGCCAGTGTTATACTATATATGTGGGATATCTATTCCCAATAACATACAATTTATCACCAAAATTAATATTTAGGGTGTGTTTGGTTGGTGGGTTTTGCCAATAGGAATGGGTATGGAAGTGATTATTGTTGTTTGGTTGATAGGTTTTTAGAACACTACTATGGGTTTCGAATACCCCATCAATTGAAAAACCCATACCCAAATACAATAAGGGTTTCATTCCCTTATTCATTTTTAAGCACTACTATTAGTAACTATTCCCATTCCACTCTACTACCAAACATGTTAAATACTTTTACCAAAACCCATTACCATTACCAAGTATTTGATACCGATTCCGATTCCGATTCCTATGTGCGAACCAAACACACCCTTATTGTATTATGGGGATGCAAATTTTACCTACAAACTTGACTAAAATTTGTATTTAAAGCGGGTGTATGTATGGTTAATACTTTTAATACAAGTTCTTTAGACTAAAAATGTTACGTTTAAAAAAATTAGTGAGAGATTCATGGAAATGTGAATGTGGATTAGATGATATGATTCTCTTTCAGCTTAATAAAAAAAAGGTATTTGCTAAATAGCTGTTATTTGATTGAGTTAGTGGGTTTGACTAGTTGATAACATTAGCTAGTTGTAGAAAGATGTTTGGTAAATTAGCATTAGCTGATAGCTGATTACATGCCAAATGACTTTTTTAAAAAGTTGATTGAAAAAGTTGCTTACTTTTAACATTTTGGAAAACTAAGGGTGTGTTTGGTTGGCGGGTTTTGCTCATAGGAATGGGTATGAAAGTGATTGATGTTGTTTGGTTGATAGGTTTTTAGAACACTACTATGGGTTTCGAATACTCCATCAATTGAAAAACCCATACCCAAATAAAATAAGGGCTTCATTCCCTTATTCATTCTCAAGCACTACTATTAGTAACTATTTCCATTCCACCCTACTACCAAACATGTTAAATACTTTCACCAAAACCCATTACCATTACCAAGTATTTGATACCCATTCCAATTCCGATTCCCATGTGCGAACCAAACACACCCTAAGTTGTTACAAAAAACTAATTAATCAAACACTTATATTAGTTGTTTAATCATGTCAAACAACTAATAGTGGTCAAATAAATCAAAATTGACTGATAAGCTAACTATGTTATCAAACACGATCAAAGTCTTCAACTCCTGCTTGAGTTTTGATGATGCAATTACTTTTAAGGGTGTGTTTGGTTCGCACATAGGAATCGGAATCGGAATGAGTATCAAATACTTGGTAATGGTAATGAGTTTTGGTGAAAGTATTTAACATGTTTGGTAGTAAGGTGGAATGGGAATGGTTAATAATAGTAGTGGTTAAGAATGAATAAGGGAATGAAACCCTTATTGTATTTGGGTATGAATTTTTCAATTGATGGGGTATTTGAAACCCATAGTAGTGTTCTAAAAACCTATTAACCAAACAACGACAATCACTTTCATACCCATTCCTATGGGCAAAAACCCCCCACCCAATTTATGCTAAGAATGTTTTCTTACGAGCTACTGAGAGCTAGCAGTGCTTCTGTGAAAAAAAAATTTACTAAATTTGTTTAATATCCTCACTTTTCTTTTCAAACAGTAATATCTATATATCCCCCCTACCCCTTTTCTTAATTTACTTTTAAATTTAACTAAGAGATTTATTATATTTTCTTTTAAATTTCGATTTGTTTATTTGATGAAAATGCTATGAAAAACATATCTTCAATGGAATGTTCTTTAATTATTACTTTTATTATTATAAAGAATACACGTATGTATTAAAGAATATTATTTAGCAAATATAATTATTATACAATTAAATATTATAAAATATACTTATGTTTTTAAAAGGTATTTTACATGTTATTAGCTAACAAAAATGTTATCAAATACTTCCTTACAAGCAACTAATTCTTCAAGATGGACAAATTATTGCTAAGAATTAACACAATTCATTAATGGCTAAGGCATTGTTTTGGTAAATAGCTGTTAGCTAATTGAGTTAGTGAGTTTGACTAGTTGATTCAGTATTAATTGATTGTAGAAAAATGTTTGGTAAATTAGTTGTTAGCTGATAGTTGATTACATGCAAAATGATTTCTCTAAATAGCTATTCGAAAAAACTGCTTTAAACATCTTTTTAAATTTTAGCATTTTGAAGCAATAAGCTGTTACAAAAATCTAATTAATCAAACACTTAGATTGATCGTTTAACCAAGTCAAATAACTAATAATGGTCAAATAAGTCAAAATTGACTGATAAGCTAACTATGTAACTGTGTTATCAAAAAGGACCTAAGTGTTAAAATAAATATTGGACTTTTAAGTAAAAACATAAGAATACAAATTAATTATGGGGTTATATAGGTGTAAAAGCTAGGTAGGAATATTAGTAGTACCATTATATTAAGCACTGCAAGAACGTGAGGCAGCAATTGTCGGTCCACGGTTTTCCTATAAATGTGATGTGAACCAACGACTCAGTTCACTTCAGCTCTCTATTTTATATAATAAATTCAAGACCCCAAAAGACACAAAATGGTACGTCTTCCATGCCTTGGTTGACTCCAAGTTTGCTACTTGCTAGCATTTTGCCATTATTTCACATAAATAATTTTCACAAAGAATATTATATCAATCCCCCGGCCACTTCCTTAAATGCAATACTTTATTTTTCCTACTCAATTGATGATTGTACATAAATGTTAACATAACAAATTATTATTTAAAATATACCTTATAAAGTTATATCACTTCAAAGAATAATATTGACTCTCGCGAGACAAAAGGGATTGAACTCTAGTCTATATTATAAGGATTAAAGATGGCGTGTGGGATGCAAATCAGATCGGGTTATAAAGTGTTCCAATAGATACTAAATGAAGACATTTTGAGAGTTCTAAAAGTCAATAGAATTCTTAGAGTTTTGGTCGGAGTTATCCTTTAATTTCTTTCTGATTAATAACATGCATATATCATTGTTGGAAATGCAAATCATTATACTTACATTTGAAGCAATTGAAGATTAAGCTTACGACATTTTCATATATCAATATCACTTGACTATAAGATGGTGTGTTCTTCTTCTTTTCTTTAATGAAAGAATTATATATTATGATAACAGTGACATTTATCTGTACCCTATAAAATCCTTCCAATTTTTTTTATACTTACATGGCGCCACAAGATTCAAAACATTGATTTTTTTTCTTTCTTCCAACTACTACATAATATAATGTGAGACCAAGTCTAAGAAATTAAATAATACTTGCATCAACAGAATCTCAAATCCAATTTACCAGTATTTATATATGTTAAGATTGTCAGAACATATATACTGTGTTGCTACTTATTTCTTTATATAATAAAAAAAATACATTTAAAAAAAAAAAGAGTTATATCTAGTTTAGTCAAATTAAGTATTACTAATTCAATAGAGTTTTCTTTATGTGAATAATAACTGTACTCAATTACAACTATAACAACCTATAAATGTCGAAAAAGTTACTCTAAACTACAATTATATAATAATTAAAGTAAACCAAACATTCTTTATATAGAGATCAAGTTGAATTAGTATTGTATTATTAGTAACCGTCGAACTTACTTATACCATCTCTAACTTTTTAAGTGTAAATTAAACACTATGGGCTTGGTCGATCTCATTATTACCATCAAACTTATACTATCTCTAACTCTCTAAGCCTAAACACTATGGGCGCGGTCTTAGCAGCACGTACTAAAATATCATAAAATCTTTAATTATTGTAATGAAAATCACCCATTGTTGCGCCAAATATAAATACTCCATCCATCTTTTATACAATTATAAGTATGTCTGTCAAGGTATTCATAATTGAATATAATTAATCTTAAATGAGACAAGAATGAATAATCTCTAGTACAACATTGTTTAATATAATGTTTAAAAAATAATAATAATAAGTGTTGTAGACCAGCCTAGCCTCTTAATTCTCAGTGCCCCTACTACATATATTGTTGTGTTTCCTTACAGTGTAATACTAGAACTAGTAAACGCCACAAATTAGTAAACCAGCAAGAGCACATGGGCGGGACGTCACCGGATGATGCATCTTCCGGCAAGTGCTTCTCCGGCATCCTAAGCCGGATTCTTTGCAGCAGGAGTCTCCCAACCCATCCTTCCGATCAACTCCCCGACCCGGACGCCGCCAAGGCCTTCTTCCACCGCCGTCAAGAATTATCCTCTGTAAATTCCGAGGCCAATAATGGCAGAGCTCCGGGAGTAGTAGCAAGACTGATGGGCCTGGAATCCATGCCGGACTTGATGGTCTCGAAAGGCCGGCCGTTGGGGTCGTTTCTCCGGAGCAGATCAGTGAACTTCATCGATTTCTTGCCTCAGATTGGCCTTACTACAGGGGAAGCCCAACATAGGAGAGTCCGAACATCCATGTCGTTCCGAGAAGCTATTGGGTTCGATAAAGAGAAACACGATTTCCTCGTTCTGTGTTTCGATTCGCGAGATGAGACCAGGAAAGAGGTAATGCCGCCGCAAAAGCATCAGGTCGCGAGTTTTCCAGAAGTGAAGCCCTATAAGGCGGAGAAGACAAACCAGAAGACTCTTGTGAAGAAGAAGTCAACTGAGAGGTTAACGGAGCCGCCGTCAAAGAGGAGTCTTGAAGTCAGCGTTCCAGCTAGGAGGAGGAATCCTAATAACGTTGATGTTAACAGAAAAGAGAGTTTAGCTTTGAAGGAGAAAAGGGCAGTGAAGAAACCAGTAGATTCCAGGAGAGTTTCCATAGAACCAAATCCTAATAGGAAGAAGAAGAAGAGCAGATATGTTAGGAACAATAGAATACAGCCTGAATATGGCTCAATTCTTGATCATCCTAAAAGTTCCCCAGCAAAGTCAGGTAACACATTCATTCAAATCTAATTTTTATCTTAATTTCTTAAAAAACAAGTCACAAAGTACAATTGAGTGGCTGAACTTAAAAAGTATACGATTAAACTATTAATTAAGCAACTGGGTCATTTCTCTTAATTTTTTCCGGTAGAATCAGATCATATAACTTACATGGTATCTATTAAGAATCACCATTTCCTTTGTCATACTGGTTAGGATAAAAATGCAATTGCACAAAAACAATAAATTCAGTAACCTATTTGACTCTTCTTCAACTTCTCTATCTTATTTTTCGCATTCTTTGCAGCAGAGAATTCTGGGAAACTGCAAAAATCTCCAAAGAAAGAACTTCTCAAGCCCAGCAACGCAGTTCAGAAGCATATGAGAACGGCTGACAAGGCGTTCATCATCAACGACCAGGCGCCGAAAACAGTGGAAGAAAACGTTTGCAGAGCGAGGAAACAAGAAACAACAGCTGGGTCTGATGAGAAAACGTTATTAGAAATCTGCAGATTGGCAGAAGAAAACGCGAGCGAGTATTGGTGGGTAGGTGGTGGTGGAGTGTTACGGTTTGATGATTCAGAGGAGATATGCATGCATTTTGGGCAACAAATTTTGGATGTTCTTCTGAACGATGTTGTCGGTGAACTTGTGCTAATGCACAAATCAAGAATTTGACGTTATAACTAATGGAATTTTATATGTGTACAATGTTGTCAAGTACGTACCTAGTCCTTGAAATCTGGGCAGAATTTTAAATAGCCAAACTGGCAGAGTATGAAATTAAAGGTATTCCTCTGATCTCTGGCAATTACTTGTAATGGTAGTAGTGTTCAGAATGATAGTGAGAAGAAAGAGTTCAATGAATAATATTTCTGTTTCCTATCAAGAAATGTTATTAATTTTTTTAGCCTGGCCAAAACACTTCGGCACACTTTTTTTTGTATTATATATAATTCATGATGGTTGAAATTGGTTCATAATTATGTGTGAACTGACCTTAACGGGGAACGTGCAAACTTCTAAAAGATTGCACCGCAAGTTCTGAAAGATTGCACTGCAAGGTTCTCCAGGCATATTGGGAGTCGTAGTGGTGCAATCATGTAATAGTTGTGGTGCGATCCTTCAAAAGTTCGCATGTTCACAGGTTAAGGTTGATTCTCACCAGATTATGATTCGGTTGGAATTTATATACTTAGCTTTGATACCAAATTGAAACATGTGCTTCATCTCAACTAAAAGTCTAAGCTAATAGTTGAATTGCACATTTATGTTTATATATATTATATGCTCAACACATACTTCTATTAAGTATTTGGCCAAGATATATAAATATGGCAGATAATGAGCAAATTTAATGGAAATAAATAATGTACTAAGTACCAAAAAGAGATAGTTAAAAGAAAGTGGTGCAATCTTAATTATTAAGTGTGTTCATGAGAATTAAACTCGTAATTCTTAGGTATAAGAGTCATATTTATCCGTTGCTCCCTCCTTAGTAGAGGAGTCCTCTTACAAAAAGTCAAAGTGTTTTGCATGATGGAGCCCTAGGTATACATGGGAAGAAAATGATGGAAAAGACAAGAATGATAGCGGGACATAGCTAACAGACGCCAACTATTGTATATACTAATTTCTTTTTGGTGTAGTCCAAGATTTCTATCCCGTACGGTGATTAATCCCCTCGCTAAATTGTAGACACATCTATTGCGTGTAACATGGACTGAAAACTTATTAAATTGTGTATATGATATGCTTGGAGGGTTCACTTGCCCAAACTATTGTTACCTATCCAACCTATTCGGCCTTTTTCTGTGCTTGGACTCATCATCACAATAAAGAACGTAACAATCACTGCTGGAAATCTCGCGTTTTCCGTCCAACATTCGTTGGACGGAAAACGCGATATATTGGTCGGAAATAAGGTTTCCGTCCAACATAGCGACCAAATTGAACGTTCGGAAAAACGCTTGTCGGAAATTCCGTCCAATTTTAATTTTTGATCGGAAATAGCGTCCAATATTTAAAAATGGACAAAAATTCCGGACAATAACCCACCATTCTTAAAACGTGAGAATTTCCATCAAACTACATGCGTTGGTCAGAAATTCCAACCAACAATTGGACGGAAATATCGAGAACCGAATGTTGTGACTTTCCTTCCAACCGTTGGTAGGAAAATTCTAAATCATACAAAATGTTTTTATTATTTTTATATTACCATAATTTTATTTCTACCTGTTTTTTTTATAGATTATATCATCACCAAATTAATAAACACACTAAATTTCAAAATAAAAATATATTTAAACATCAAAATTATTTACAACAAAAATTATAGTCATGTCTATAGTTCTTCCAACAATGGACTATTACCATACACCAAAAAAAATCATGAAAATATATACTACTTAATCAATACTAAGTATGCTTGATGCACCCCAAAGCCTCAAAATGCTCGCTGCACCCAAATAAGCCTCTAGATGGGCTGCCTTTCTCTTTACAAACTGCAGGAATTATAATACGAAGCATGTTGCCCATGTTCCCTGCTCATATGAAAGCAAGAATTTATAAGTTATCATGCACACTCTAAGCACACCCGGCAGGGAGTATTCATCAAATAAACTTATTAACAAAGCTACAGGCTATACCTAGAATTCATGCTAGCTTTATTTTTGTTTTTATTGGGTATTGCTCAAGGCCTATAATGGTCTCCAACCCACACTGCTTGGGTATTACTATATATTTGCTATATATCAAATATTAGGAAAAAAAATACTTCGTAATAAACACTTCAGCATTCTGATTTTTACTAAACTTCGAAGTTTTAGAAATATAATACAACTTTTAATTTCCTTCAACTAGGGGATAAAATAGAAATTTCACTCAAAAATCTCTAGACCAATGCTTGAGTATGTAAAAGCCTGTGAGTAAATGGAGATTGAGCAAAACTTACCAATTTCAATTCGCACTTGCATGAGTAGAAAGGGGAAGACACACAGAACCTTAGTGTCAGCCCATATCCCCCTGCAATCTGCATATAACCCAAAAAAAAAAAAAAAAAAAAACATACACCAAAATAAAAATGTAAGGTAAATAAATGCACAATAGCATTTAGTATACTAGTAAAAACGAAGCAAAATAGAATCTCTTAGATACCATAATCATATAAAGAAATGATCATTTTATTCAAGACAATAGAAATATGTATGGCAGAACCTCATAAAATTCCCCACATATTGCAAAGACTAACACACCCACTTTTGGTTGTCAACAATGACATATGTGAATGGTGAATTTCCTCCTTTGGACGCCTGAATTGAAAAGGAATGCATTGCCACTATTAATAACTTGAAGTTCCCAAAACAGTTTATCTCAAAGAAACCAAATTTTTAATACAAAGGACAAACAATATGATCTCCAGCTTTATTCATATCTATACATAGTTGGATAAGTAATAATGTTTACATTCTTCTTAAATCCTCAACATATTATTAATCAAACTTCCATTTCAGCAACCACATTAAATTAAAGTGCATAAGCATAAACAGTCGTATCTTAATTTTAGTTATAGAATTTCACGATATGAAGTTCACCAATTAACCAACGGGGGAGCACTTACAGATAGAATCAGCAGGAGAAAGAGAAAGCCCTTTCTTCTTCTCCTCTTCTCCCAATAGACCTTACTTTCTTGATGCTATAGATGAATGTAAGTTCTCCCAATAGACCTTACTTTCTACACTTCTCCACCACTGTTTCTGAGTTAATCGCATGTGTTGAGTGTATTAAGCAAAATATAGTGAATCTCAGTGCCTGTCCCGACAAGAACAACAATCTTATCCTCATAATTGCAGTTTATAAGAATGTAGAAACAATGCAGAATTTACAGAAACATAAATAGAAAAAAATATAGAATTTGCAGGAAGAAGAAGCAGTTGACTTGGTTTTGCTAAAATACATATGAATGTTTTGAATTGGAGATGCAGGAAGTTATAAATTAGTGCATAAATCTGTACTGTTTTGACTCCATTATTAACCTCTGTTCATGTTGATTTTATTGTTATTTTCCAAATTCTTCAAACTACTTTCCCCCACCCATTAATTAGTCCACTCCTCAAATCTCTCTCCTACTCCCTTCTTTTTCACTCCAATCACCCATTCCTGCGTTTTAGTCTGCAGTAACAAAAGAAAGAAAATCCCCAAAACAAAAACCACCAACTTCTACCAGCAACAACCAACCAAATACCACCACCCATTCCCTTTCCTACATTTGACACTTATCTGCTTCGAGATGGAGAGGAGAATGTCGGCCCGGTCCCAATTTCTGCAAACAAACTCAACAAAATAAAAACCCTAAAAATCTTACTGCCGGAGTTGAGATGACGACGTTCTGCCCTTCTGGCTTACAACGATACGGCAGTTGAGGTGGCGACTGGCACGAGGCGACAGTGGTTCTGCACTTCGATCGCAAATGGTGGCCGTAGATGACGGTGAGTTATGGTGGTTCTCAGGAAGAGATTTCGTTGGAGAGGGTTTGTAGCAAAATTTAGTCTAAAAGAGATTTAGGGTTGCAAATAGAGGTCGTCTGCCAATCTTCTATTTTTCCCACCCAAAGTTCTATATTTCCCGCTTCACTACTTAGTGCCCCACTATTCTAGTATTCCTCTATTTTTTAGCTCAAGTTTTTTAATTTTCGTCCAACAACAATGTTGGACGGAAATTAAAATAGCTACCGTTTTCAATTTCTACCGATGTTTATCGACCAACACTAAAGATTGGACAAAATTTCCTTTCAACACTGGACGTTGGACGAACTTTCCGTCCAACAATCGCGCGTTGGACGGAAATTCTGACCAACTTTCCGTCAATCCATCTTTTACCATAGAAAGTTGAGATTTTTATTAAAATAGCGACCAAATTATAGTTGGACAGAAATGTTGGACGGAAAACGCGAAATTTTCAGCCGTGAATCCCTACTTAATTATTCATGTGTACTAATTGAACTACATTATGCTTGGAGGGTTCACTTGGTCAAGCTATTATATTGTTACATGTCCTACCTATTCGACATTTTTATGTGCCTAGACTTGATTGTCAAACTCTAAGCGATAATGGGTCATAAATTCATTTAAAGTGGCCTTATTATTCTTGAATGCATCTCTAACAACAACTTTAAAACAGTTATATTATATTATTGTTAAATTAACAAGACTTTTATTAGCACCCAAAAAAACAAGACTTTTATTAACTTATAATATCATATGAATAAAAATATAGAGACTTAACCGTGTGGGTTGTCTCAACAACCTTATTGCCTTATACTCTCACCTTTGACCTGCTCTAATACCAAATTTTATGATCAATGGTTTAGCACCACACTAAAAGTTATAGCTAGTAGCGACAACACAATTGCATTCCATATACGTACTCATGTAGACATCAACATTACTTTTGAATGACAAGATGCTGGACTCGACCTTTTAAGTTGCGGTCCAACACTTAGGATCCCGGATATAATAAACCTAAATTATAAAAAAATAATAAATAAATAAAATAAAGCTTTTTTGCTTCAATAGGTTGAGAAAATAATTATGAACAGATACTACATTGTAATAGAGTCAGTATTCCAAAAAAAAAAAAAAAAAAAAAAAAAAAAAAAAAGAACTTAACGCTAAACCATTGGAAGGTGCTGAAGGAAAAAAGTTGTTATTCCCAAAAGGTTGAATCCTTAACCCCAAAGGTCCTCTATGCCCGGTTCTACAGAACATATGGAAAGATGTAAATCATGGTAACTCAGCTGAACACAGAAGTTAAATCATGATAGATCAGAGAAGCTTCTCACTTTTTATTGGGTCTCCTATGATCTCCTCCTCCTCCCTGGATTTACTATATT